CCTAGTGCTTTTTTGGGGCTTGGATCTGGGCTTGGTGCTTTCTGGGGCTTGGTGTTTTCTTGGGCTTGGGCCAAGGGCTTTCTGGCTCTTGCTGTTTTCTGAGGCTTGGCGCTTTCTAAAGCTTAGGGCTTTCTGGGCCTGCAGCTTTCTGAGGCTTGGGGCTGTCTGGGTCTTGGAGCTTTCTAGGGCTTGGTGCTTTCTGGGGCTTGGTGTTTTCTGGGCAAGCAAGCCCTAAAGAAGTGAGCACTAATACCCGGATTTTGGGAGCCTGCTCAGCCGAAACGCACTTCGAAGATCTCGAGAGGCATGCGTGAATGGCAGCGAATCAGCCGGACACGCCGATAAAACACCTCGATCGAGCAGATTTCGCGGCAGGCGCAGCACTTTGTGAGCCTCGCAGTGCAGATTTCCTGGCAGGCGCAGCACTTTGTGAACCTTGCAGTGCACATTTCGTGACAGGCAAAGCACTTTGTGAACCTCCACGTGCAGTTTTCGTGGCGGGCGCAGCACTTTGTGAGCCTCGCAGTGCAGATGCACATTTCGCGACAGGCACAGCAGCACTTTGTGAACCTTGCAGTGCACATTTCGTGACAGGCACAGCGCTTTGTGAACCTCCACGTGCAGATTTCGTGGCAGGCGCAGCACTTGGTGAACCTCAAAGTGCAGATTTCGTGGCAGGCGCAGCACTCTGTGAACCTCAAAGTGCAGATTTCGTGGCATATACTTACTTATACTATATGCCATTGAATATCACCAAGTCACAAAGCTTTCATGATATTTCAGAATGTGCGGAGTCTTTATTTCAGAATCTGAATCAGGCCATAACAGGCAGAGCCCATTGAAGCCAAGGATTTGCTACAAGACTGACCTCATCTTCAACAAGGAGGATGGATGCCAGGAATGGTGGGGGCTCCTGGCACCTTGGCAATTAACATTTCAGAAGTGGTACAAAAAGGCCAGTAGTCTTTCTTAGTTATGAATTGATTGATTGATTGCATCCAGTGGTGTGTTGTGTGACTGTGAGTTGTGTTGCAGTGTCATGGCATGAGTCACTGACTGAAAGTGAAGACGTCACTCACTGCTAAATTTAAGGGCCTAGCCTGGGAGGAGACACATAGATAGGAGGTGTATCCTTCTGGGACATGTGAAACATGCTGGGGGAGCCAGGCATCTACATAGATTCTGCCCTGAGGCCATTTGAATCAGCTTGAAAAGGTGGGAGAGGTGATTGCTTTGACATGAGTTGTGCTTCTGCAACTGGCATCATTGACAACCACTGACCCCATCCTTTGCCTTCCCCCCTGGGCATTTGCCTTTGGTCTTTGGCCTCTCACCCAAGGTGGATGGTATGAGCCTTGCCAGCAAGGGAAGGGTGTCAATATTGGTGTGATGGACCAATGGGCCTGTGCACTTGGGACTTGCCATATAATTAGACCTTGCTTTGTGCAAGTGCCATGCCCCCTTGCTTTGTGCAAGTGTGTGCAAGTGCCCCTTTGGTTCTGCCATGCCCCCTGCTTTGTGCAAGTGCCTTTGTAAAGTGGCTCAAGCAACTGCCTACTATACAGTGGCCTTTCTTAAGGCACTTAGGGCAAAGCACCTTCTGGTGCTTAGAGATTTCACCAGAGGAAAAGGTCTAGCTGCAGAGCTGGGCAATGTGAAAATCTAAAAAGAACCCTAAGAGTTCAAGACATCCTTGGAACAAAGAAATCTGTTTTAACGTTTTAAAGATATGCATGCTCAAAGTGTTTTTTAGACAGGGCCATTCTTTTTATGATTGTTTTTCTGAGTGCAGGATCTTAAGGGGGAAAGAGTTATCAGTTGCAATATGATTTGTGTATGCCCTGCAGGTGACCATTTGATGTGCAGCTCCAGCACAGATCTGCCAGATCTGCTGAACTGATGGGAAAAAAGAGACAAGAGTGCTGGCAAGAGAGGGCCCAATTGGTGGCAGGGAAAAGTGCAGGTTTTCAAGGGATTTTTGTAGGATCCATTGGGGTTTCTGTAGGTTTCTATAGGTTTTCTGTAGGGTAGCCTATTGGGCTGGAAAAGTTGAAGCGGTACACTTTGAAGCGTGATCTTCGGCTTGTCTTTGAATTAAGCACCAGAAAGCACCAAGTTTTTTACCCGAAGCCCAGAAGGCGAAGGATCGAAAAAAAGAACATTAACAAAGTTTTGATCGAAAGTGCTTCAGAAAGCTCCAGCACTAAGCTTCTAGAATAACCCTCAGCCCCTAGAACGTTTTGTGGCTGGTGCATAGTCTTTCTGCATGCGCCTCTCTTGCTGTACAGAGAAGAAAAGCTGCGTCAGCGTACAAACACATGCCGCGCATACCCGATGACATCATGACAAAGGAGGCGAATATAAGGTACCATAGCTGAGTTTCCTTTCATCTGGAGCTACCATCTCTGTACCTCTGACAAAGGAGGGAATGTAAGGTACCTTACCTTAGCTAAGTTTCCTTGCATTTGGAGCTTCCATCTCTCTACCTCTCACAAAGGAGAAAAACGTAAGGTACCTTAGCTAAGTTTCCTTTCGTGTGGAGCTTCCATCTCTCTACCTCTCCAGAATGGAGGAGGACATAAGGTACCTTAACTAAGTTTCCTCTCATTTGAAGCTTCCACCCTCTATATACCTCTCACAAAGGAGGAGAACGTAAGGTACCTTAGCTAAGTTTCCTTTCATTTGGAGCTTCCATCTCTCAAGGCACTTTAGCTATGCTTTCATTTAAAGCTTCCATCCCTCTACCTCTCACAAAGGAGGAGAACGTGAGGTACCTTAGCTAAGTTTCCTTTCATTTGGAGCTTCCATCTCTTTACCTTTCACAAACGAGGAGAACGTAAGGTACCTTAGCTAAGTTTCCTTTCGTTTGGAGCGTCCATCTCTCTACCTCTCTCACAAAGGAGGAGAAGGTAAGGTACCTTAGCTAAGCTTCCTTTCATTTGGAGCTTCCATCTCTGTACCTTTCACAAAGGAGGAGAACGTAAGGTACCTTAGCTAAGTTTCCTTTCGTTTCGAGCTTCCATCTCTCTACCTCTCACAAAGGAGGAGAACGTAAGCTCCCACAAAAAGGGAGAACGTAAGGTACATTAGCTAAGTTTTCTATCGGTTGGAGCTTCCATCTCTCTACCCCTCACACAAAGAGGAGAACGTAAGATACCTTAGCTAAGTTTCCTTTCAGTTGGACCCAGTTGGAGCTTCCATCTCTCTACCTCTCAAGGTACCTTGCTAAGTTTCCTTTCATTTTGAGCTTCCATCTCTCTATCTCTCCGAAAGGAGGAGAACGTAAGGTACCTTAGCTAAGTTTCCTTTCATTTGGAGCTTCCCTCTCTCTACCTCTCACTAAGCTTTAATTCGGAGCTGCCACCTCTCTACCGCTCACAAAGGAGGAGAACGTACCTTACATGAAAGGAAACTTAGCTAAGGTGCCTTACATTCTCCTCCTTTGTGAAAGGTAGAGAGATGGAAGCTTCAAATGAAAGGAAACTTAGCTAAGGTACCTTCCTTTGTCAGAGGTAGAGAGGTGGAAGCTTCACATGAAAGGAAACTTGCTAAGGTACCTTACTTTCTCCTCCTTTGTGAGAGGTAGAGTGATGAACCTTGCGCAGATTTCCTGGCAGGCGCAGCACTTTGTGAACCTTGCAGTGCACATTTCGTGACAGGCACAGCACTTTGTGAACCTCCACGTGCAGATTTCGTGGCAGGCGAAGCACTTTGTGAACCTCGAAGGGCAGATTTCCTAGCAGGCGCAGCGCTTTGTGAACCGCCACGTGCAGATTTCGTGGCAGGCGAAGCAGATTTCGTTGCAGGCGCAGCACTTTGTGAGCCTCGAAGTGCAGACTTCCTGGCAGGCACAGCACTTGGTGAACCTCGAAGTGCAGATTTCGTGGCAGGCGCAGCACTTGGTGAACCTCAAAGTGCAGATTTCGTGGCAGGCGCAGCACTCTGTGAACCTCAAAGTGCAGATTTCGTTGCAGGCACAGCACTCTGTGACAGATTTCGTGGCAGGTGCAGCGCTTGGTGAACCTCGAAGTGCAGAGTTCGTAGCAGGCACAGCACTTGATGTGCAAAGTTCGTGGCAGGCGCAGCGGCGCAGCACTTTGTGAAGCTCGACGTGCAGATTTCGTGGCAGGTGCAGCACTTGGGGAACCTCGAAGTGCAGAGTTCGTAGCAGGCACACTTGGAGAACCTTGATGTGCAAAGTTTGTTTCAGGCGCAGCACTTTGTGAACCTCGAAGTGCACATTTAGTGGCAGGCACAGCGCTTTGTGAACCTCCACGTGCAGATTTTGTGGCAGGCGCAACACTTTGCTCGCAGTGCACATTTCGTAGCAGGCACAGCACTTTGTGAGCCTCCATGTGCAGATTTTGTGGCAGGCGCAGCACTTTGTGAACCCCGAAGTGCAGACTTCCTAGCAGGCGCATCACTTTGTGAACCTCCAGGCGCAGATTTCTTGACAGGCACAGCCCTTTATGAACCTTGCAGTGCACATTTCGTGGCAGGCGCAGCACTTTGTGAACCTCGAAGTGCAGATTGCGTGGCAGGCGCAGCACTTGGTGAACCTGAAAGGGCAGATGTCGTGACAGACGCAGCACTTTGCGAAATCTGGTCACTGGTTCGTGGTCGCTGACTCGCGAAATCTGGTCGCTGATTCCTTGGTCGCTGATTCGGAAAAGCTGTTCGCTGATTCGCGAAATCTGGTCGCTGATTCCTGGTCGCTGATTCGTGGTCGCTGATTCGGACCGCTGGTCGCTGATTCGGATCGCTGGTCGCTGATTCCGTGGTCGCTGATTCGGCAAAGCTGGTCGCTGATTCGCGAAATCTGGTCGCTGATTCCTGGTCGTTGATTCGTGGTGACTGATTCGGACCGCTGGTCGCTGATTCAGAGTTTTCTCCCTTCGGGTGGCGTCCGACGCCACCCCTATGAGAAGGGGTTCAAAGCTCCTGCTTCAGTAGGATTAAGAGCAAGCCACGATTTCAAAGACTTGCGCCGATTTCACGAGGAGCTGCACCTCCTAGAGGCGATTTCGAAGCCCTCCCTTCTGGAGGCGGACGGGTGGGCGGGGCTTGGGGCGCGGCTTGGGTCTAAGGCGAGGCGACTTTCCTCGAAGCATAGGCCTCCAGGGAAATGGGTATGGGTAGAACGGTAGAACTCGATTCCTTAGGCGAGTGTTGTGTTTTCGCATGATTGAGCACATCACTGATGGTTACCGGATGCCAGTGCTCAGTGCTCCAACAAAAGCGACCACCATGTCTGGACACCTCCAACGACCACCGGATGTTAAAAAGCCACCGACCGACGGCCGCGTCCTCCTTTCGATGCACCAGGCCTGGCAGGAGGCGACCGGGGCGAAGAGGTTGACTGTGAAGCTCTTCGGTTCCCTGGAGCCACAAGTGGAGGGCGGAGGGACCGGAGCCGCGGCAGACTTCACCCCAGCATTTGCCATGTGTGGAGGGCGCATGATGAAGCCGACAGGTAGCTAGCTACAGATCAAAGGACAAGGAAGGAGGTATGGTATGATTTGAGATGCGCTACAGTGAATGGTTTCATGATTTGCACATCCATTTTCCAGAAAGAAGTCAGGAGCGAGTTTTTGCCAGATACAACGTGTTCTAAAGTTCACTAAAGCTTGAGGCAATTCAATTGACTCTTTTTCGACGCTTCGACGTGTTCCGGATTCTATCTATATTTGCTTACTACTTGAGGACTGCAGGGAAGGACGGATGGAAGGAAGCATCAGCATCTCCGATTGTCTGGCATCCTCAATTCATGTTCCTTCAACAGGGCCCGATCTCGGGGTATCGCTCGAGAGATCGGCGAGTTGGAGGGCACGGCGCCCGAAGTGGCCCCCGAACTTGAGATGTTGAAGCCCTCAGCAGAGTTGCCAGGGTTGCAGTAGGGGGGAGTGCTTGGATTTGCTCAAAGGACATTCCACACGCTCAGACGGGTGAATTTAGGGGCATGAAGTTCCACTTCTCCCAGACCAGCTCCGTCAACTCAGCATCGACTCACCAAGGTGCCGGCACGGCTCCTGGAAAGGCCGTCAGCAGCGAGGCTCGGCGGCGGTGCACAGCTGAAAAACCCGGCACGAGGTTGGCACCATTATGATGATGCTAGTTTTCATCAATGATGGGCTCCAGAAAAAACCATGAAAAAACCATCCAAGAGGTTGCTGATGGCTGCTGTGACCACAGCGCGTTACATGGAGCGAGAGAAAGAGATTACATAATGAATAGCATGCATGCACACTAATATTACTGGTCATTGAGTAATTGGACATGGCAGATGCACCAGTTGCAGATGGCTGTTTTCCCAGTTTCCTTTACACCGGGGCCCTCCAGACTTTTCATCACTGCGACCGTCGCCGATGTATACCAATGCCTTCCCCAAAGTGGATCACCGGCGACAGCTTCCCTTTCTCCGTGTCCGGCGAGTCAAACACGCCGCGGGACGCGGCAAGTTCGCCGCGAACTGCGAAGTAGGAGTTGGAGGTGATCTCTGATGTGGAACACGTGGCCTTTGCCGACGCCGGGCGTGGTTTTATATCTTTTTCTGCGCGTGGCGGCCCATGGTTTCGTCAGCATCAGTCCAGAAATGTGACTGAGGCAGGCTTTTGCCAAGTTCCAGTAGTGTTGTTGCCAGCTGGACTGCATGTGCTTTGTTTTTGGAAGCCAAGTTCCAACCATTGGTTGAAGGGGATTCGCATGGATTCGCTTTTCTGTCTGGGTCGCAACATGTGTGATGAGATTTCATCTGGCCTCCAAACACTTTTGGCAACCCCAAGTAACCCTTGTTCTCCGGCCGCCGGAGAAGACCCGGTCGCGTTTTCCGAAAAACCCACGGTCAGCCCGACCGACCGATGGGCCAAGGAGGATGTTCCGCGCTGGCCGCATCGATACCTCTGCAAGTGAGAAAGTGCACCTCTGAGTGAAGGGATGGGGAGGAAACATTGAGAATGTCCAGTGAAAGGTGCCTGGGGTGTGTAGAAGTCCACACTTGGATGTTTATTTTGGGGTGCATAGTTGCCAGGATAGGTCTTGAGTTACGGATTTGATTCGGTTGAGTTTATATATATATATATTATATAGATTAGTTCCCTGCAAGTATTGGAGGGTGGATCGGAAAATTTATCTTGGAATCTTCGTGTCATTGGGCGTCTAAATGCGCATCTTCTAACTTCTTGTGGCTCGAGATGAAGGATAAGTCGGCCGGGACCTTTACAGGTTCGCGGGTCGATTTAGATGAGCGATCATGTGGAGCACACTTCGTCGTCCTCCTCGAGCACCACTCGATGGGTGCAGAAGTTGAACAAGACCTGGAAACGCCAAGACGAGGACAACGAGGAGACGGTGCGGTCCAGTGCTGGTGGGGCGGTTGCGCGGCTTCTGGGGCCACGCAAGAAGTGTCCAGCCATTGCAATTGCAAGAGCCTTTGGGGCCACTCAGTTGTTCCCACCCTACTATAGGGTATCAAGTTTTCTTCGACTTGAAGGAGAAAGGGATGTGGATTGAACCCCGTTTTTCCTTTGTGCTGGATGATCTGGTGGGAGCGTTTCATTCGTTGGCCTTCAACGCTTTTCCTCACCTTTCTTCGTAGCTGCGAAGAGCGGGGACATGGTGTCGGTGTTCAAGATTCTTCCAGGACTTCCTCAACCTGAGGATCATCTCCATGTGTTCTTCGCTTCGCTTCGGATCGTCCTCTCGTCGGGTCTCACACGACACCTCGTCGCTCGCGTCTCCAGGAACAGAGCGGCGCATCAGGCAGTGGCAGCGCTCAATGTACCGACGGTGCGCCCAGCCAAGGCGATGGGCTGCGGCTCCCCCTGTCAGCAGCCGGACGGGGCCTCCGGATGGTCGGTTTTGCGGGGTGGAGGGCTTCAGGACGTGGTGTTGCAACAGGACGGACCCTGCCAGAAAACAGGGGTTTGGAAGTTGATGCCAGCGGTTTGGTTGGTGGGGAGTGGCATGTTTTCAAGATCACGGGTGCAATGCCCCCAAAATCATCGCCCAGGTCATGACTTCGTCATCGGGTCCTTAAGAGTCCTTTTCTACTCCTCCGCATCGCGGAGTTGGTCGGACCATGGGCTTCCGCTGGACGGAATCTTCGACCGCTGGGGGTCCAGGTTCGGGGCTCCGTTACAGTGGTTTCAGTGGATGGCGCCGGCCCCCCAGGATTTATGGTAGTATTCTTTTAGACGGGGGCCTATATAAACCACCTTTCAACCGACTTGTAGGGCAAACATTCTGGCGCAGGATCGGTCAGAGGAGATGTGGAGTCAGAAGAGGTCTCTCCGCACACGGCTGGCACGTGTGACTCGGCGATCCATTAAGCGTATCAGAGGAACCTCCCCAGTTTTTTTCTCAGAAAGGGACGCTATGCGGGTGTGTGTTTCACGGTGGTAACAAAACACAACGTTTTTTTTTTTTTTAATAACCCTACCTTTCATGAAACGATTGCTTCAGTTACCCCCTGCTGACATGTGAGATGAATTGAATAAATGTTTTTTCATAGAATATGCGGATGTCAGTTTTCTGCAGGTAATAAATACATATATGTTTCTAGTATGTATTTCGAATTGCTTCTCTCTCCGGTGCGTTACCTAGACTCATGGTTTTGTAGACAGAGTTGATCTTGTAGACTGGGGGGGGGCCCAAAAAACAAAAACTGCGGAAACTCCTTTGGTCACTAAAGCGGCCTGCGGTCAGATGTACACTTCTCTATTTGTGCGTGTCATGTCTTAGACATGGGAGTGAGTCCTTTACACCAAGTTTCGTACTCCTCCTTCATGGATGGAGTGTAAACTCTATTCATGACCCTCATGGTCCTTCACGGCTGCTCTGGCCGGGGATCCATAAACTCAAAACACTCTTCCATCTTTCTATACATATCACCAGCCATCTCGTGATCTCCTGCCCTCGTGGCATGATACCACGTGGCCTCAATCTTTGCAAGCTCCTGTCGAGCCTTCAAATCTGCCCTGTTGTAGGGCCTGTTGCAAAAAGAACACTTCGACTCAGGAATCTCGATTGGCTCCGGTTGCCAGGCATGAGGATGTGTTTGTCCTGGCTCCGGTGTCGGCTCGTGCTCTCCATATCCTCATCTTCATCCCTACCGGACTTGGCGACTTGGCTCTGGTGGTGGATCCGGTGCCTGGACAACCTCCCTGGCAATCTCCAAGTACTCAATGGGGACGTTGACCACCTCCCCACTGTCCAGCTCCACGGTGGCTGTTTCCCCACTCAGCATCCTTGCAGCAATCCTTGCATCACCCGGATCATCGTGGTCATCTCGTGGTGGTCCAGGATCATCCACAGAGAACCTGTTAAAAATTCTCGATTCGCCTTGTTCCTGTTTTCTCTGATTCACTGCATCCCACTGAACTTTGAGATGTAGCCCTTCATGACGTCGGTTGATCTTCTCCAGGAACTTCAGCGTTTCCCATTCTAAACCATCACGAATCGAATGATCCTCAACGAAGCCTCCCCGGAAAACCAAGGCTCGGTGGATCCTTTGAGTGTAATCCACTTGCATCGACCACACTCGCTCTTGCTCCTCTCCGGCACTGATGTGGTTGTGCTTCGCCACTTCCAACTCACTTTCGAGGATCACAATTCGGTTGTCCAGGTCCCTGAACTTTCTTCGAAGCCACCATACCAGGAAGATCGCTGCCACAATCATGATGATGTAGAAGAGCTTTTCGATATAGTTGGTGTTCTCTGACAGGTCTGGTTCCACTCTTGCGCCAGTAGCCAACTCAAGACCGCTAACGAAGACCAGCCTATTCAAATACTTTGCAATCTTCATCACCTTTCCTTTTTCAATGTGCTGCTCATTGAACTGTTCGCACTCTTGCTGTCCAACTCGTTCACCTTCAGCATCTCGAGCTTGTAGCCAGTATAAGAGCAGCTTCAATCGGCTCCTTGACAATGGCTTGGTTCCAATGTCTGAGATGTTCTTGGCCGTCCCAATCTGTCGGACCTCCAACTCGCCACTTGCTACTTTGTCTTGACACCAAAGCAGCTTCCCACTCACATGTCGTAGCTTCCCAGCTCCTCTCTTGCATGCGATTTGTCGAGTGGCCGAGTTGTCTACGAGGCAAATGTGGTGAACATCATCTCCTGTAAGGAACTGTAGGCTGTGCTTCAAACAGATTCCATCACATGCTCCTGAGACAAGGGCGTGCAGTTCGCTCTCTGCTGATGACAAACTCACCACCTTCTGTCCTCTTGAAGAGCAATGCACCACAATCCCATTGACTGCATGTACAGCAGATGAGGTACTTCTCCGGGTAGCCCTGTTCCCACTCCAGTCTGCATCTGTATAGGTCTCCAAGATCCAGAGATAGGGACTGTGGGTGCTCATACCCTCACCTCTCTTCGGCATTGGGAGCATCATGGACTGATCTGCAGTGTCCTTCAAACATCCCAGGAACTTCTTCATCTTCTGGATGGAAATTTCTGTAGGACTCGACATCTTTCCTGCCGGCTCCTTGATGCAAAAGGAAATGTCACATTGTCACATCTCTCTTGGGCTAGGTAGATGCCCATGCCAACTACCGACCTGTAGATTGCTGCTTGTTGCGGTGGGACTGTGCTCGAACCATCAAAGTCTTGAATATCTGATGTCGCCGGAACACGTTGCCTTCTCACCACCCCGAAGTAGTCCTCAAAGGTCTTCACCATGCTCGCTGCATAGCCTCCAGGCTTAATCAAAAGCCCTTCGGTTGTGTAGATGTACTTCCTCTTTAGGAAAGAAAACTCTTCTCCATGGTCCTTCACCATGTTGACCTCGACGTCGAACTTCTTCTTCATCTGGTCGATGTAGTCCATCACTGGCTTCTCCCTGCCTGTGAACATAATATCATCAACATGGATCAATACGGAGACGAGCTCTTCTCCTGTTCCCTTCTTCCCCAAGCATGGGTTGATGATGTCGAAGGAGAATCCCTGTTCTTCAATGAGGTAGGATCTCAAGTGCTCATACCAGGCCTTTGCACCGATTCTCTGACCCGGCAAATTTCGCAGTAATTTGTACTCTCCCATTGCCGTCACAATGCGCAATGGCCTCTCCTGCGGGACTTGGAGGAAGGCATCCTTGACATCCAAAGCTCCAATAACCGGCCTGCCCTTGTTTTGCTCATAGTCCATCTCAGCACTTGCTGCAGTCAAGAAAAGCACGGGCAATAGGCGTAGGGCATGTTGACCACTCGCCGGGCTATACACATCATCTCTCTTCTCGATGGCGTAGTCCCTAGCAACAAGCCTTGCTCTCCTCAGCCATCTTTTGTGCTTCATGCCATTCTTGTCCACATAGGTCTTGATGCGCCAGTCATAGACAAACCTTGTTGTGAGCACATCCAAATTCGCTTCCTCCGGTTTCAGCTTCTCGATGACATCCATCCTTGTTAATCTCTTCTCTTCCACCTTCCTGGCCACTGCGTCAACTTCTTCTGAAGGTTGTGGGGGTGTCTGCGTCAGTGGATGGTCTGACCATAGCTCCTCTGGAATGGCACCTGGCTCGAGATCCTCAATCTCTTCTGGCCCACCTTCGATGGCTAAGGTCTCCACGTCGATGACCTCGTCCAAGTGGTAAAGGTCCTCGCCAGCCACATGAACACGTTCCACCCTTCTCTCAATCATCATTGTCCTTGAGGCTGATGAAGATTGTCCTTCTCGATCTGGCTCTTCGGGTCTCAATCTTTTTTAGCTGATGAAGGTGGTGGGAGTTTTCGCAAAATTCTCCTCATCGTCCCAGGGGAGTGGTGGAATCACCATAGGAACATCTCCTCCTGGCCCCTACTCTGTGGCTGCGTTGCAAGAACTGGGGGTGTAGCTGTTCCTGTATTGGGCTCATCTAACTGCGGGGCACTTGGTGCTGGTAAACCTGCAACAGCATCTTGTAGTTCTGCCCTTTCTCGTTCCTGTCGAACTTCTTCAATCTCTTGTTCATGTTCTGCTAGCCCTTCTCGGGATTGGGCATAGCGCTTCACCTCCTCTGCTTCCTCATCCTTGTACTTGAAGAACACCGACTCCAATGCTGGCATCGCTCCGGCTCTCAGGTATGCCTGTCACAGCCCGTTTGGTGGGAATGCGTCCACCAAAAGTCGTTTGATATTCCCAGCTCGCCGGCTGAGGAAACCTGTCCATGGCCTGTTGACTCTCCTGATTGACCTAGTCAACATGATCTGACTCCCATCACCCACAATCCAAGCATCCTGACCATCAGTCTTGCCAAGAAAGAGGGACATTCGCCAACGTGGGTTCCCTTTTCCACTTTGTGGCCGAACATAGGCATACACCGGGCATCCAAATGGAACAACCGCACCCTCATAGTTTCTTCCATGTGCCAACTCATAGCTGGTGATGCCTTTCGTCGCCTGATACCGGTTCAGGAGCCAACATGCATGCCTCGAAGCCCAACTCCACAATGTGTGGTTGGTGTTGTAGGCCAAACCTGTTCGTTCTGCAACATTTGACATCAGCGTGCAGGTGAGTCCTCGAACACGCTGAATTGCATTCTCGGCCAAGCTGTTGCCTGCAGAATCACGAACCTTCGTAGTATACAACCTTGTTCTCAGGCCCATCGAATGCCGGCTGTTCAACACAATGCGCAGCAATGACCTCATCGTTGGCTCGTTGTTTGCATAGAGGCCCACTTCAACATGTCCGAGGCTCTGGATGAATGTCATGATCTCACGAGCCATCAAACTGAGTTGTCCCTTCGACTTCAATGGGACCGAACCAAGAGCACCTGTTTGGCTGTCCACCATGATCAACCATAGGCCTGGCTTGAGCTCTCGAATACGCAGCTCCTCGGCCTCCTTGGCTTCCTCCTCCTCGTAGAGATCAATGACCATCTCTTCATCCTCTCGGCCTCGATCCAGCGGTCTTTGATTTGGATCTACCTCTCCAGCCTTGGTGTAGCATAGATCCAATGAGATGATTGGAATGCCACTCAACCTCGAAGATCCTGTTCTCATATGCCGGTCTGGTCGGCCTCGATGCTTAAGGCATGCAGGACACCAGGGTTGGTACGGCACGTGGGTGAGGCAATGCTTCTCCTGCTCCTCCTGCGACGGGACTGGAATGCCTGGCTGTTCCCTTGGTTGTCGAGCCACTTGCAACTGAGCAGCTGCTACGGCCTCTGCTGTAGCCTTGAGTTAACCAGGCGTTGATAGCATTTCAGCCGGCTGCCAGAAAATTGCATGCCGCCCTCCACTGTCTCAATGGGCTGACTGCCGTGAGCTGAATGCCTTTGACCATGATGTGGTCAGGGACTCCCGGTCCCATAGCCAACCTTGCTTCCTGTT